AAACACCAAGAACTTTAGTGATTTGTTCTACTATTCATTTAAAAAATGCAAAAGAAAGCAGTGAACCTTATTGCACCAAGTTCGACTCTCTGATGTAAGAAAAACAAGCTTAAATCATTCAAAACCTCTGGTTAGAAGAAAGGAGAAAGAGCTTGTAGCATGTCAGTAAAAATAACAGATGTGAATTCTGTGAAACTGACATATGTAGGCAGATAAAAAAAGTTTAATTGCTTGCTTTCCACCAAAAATATGAATTGTTGAGATTTAATTAGTAATGAAATGGGAATCTACATAGAATTGTGCATACTTCCAATGTAAACTGCAATAATAAAATTAAATAGCAATTTAACTGTCAGTAAATCTAAGTCACTTTCTTCCCTGTATTAAAATACAAACCCCAAATATCTTATCTGAATAACTCAAAAGTCTTGAGAAAAAGTCTGACAAGAACATGCTTGTCATGACCTGAAATTAAGGTTAAGAAAATACTAAATATTAGTATTGTATATTTTTTCTAGTTGTTCACTTGTGTTTGACTTCTGTTTTTCTACTTTTACCTTTTTATGAAAACAAATAACAAAACCAAAAAACACCCCAAAACAGCAACAAACCAACCAAAGGGAAAGACTAAAGAAATATACTTCAAGATTCTAGCTTGGCAGAGAAAGACAACCTAAGTGGAAGAGTCCTGCAGCTGAGGTCAGTACTTGCTTGTTTAAAAGAAAGTGTTACTATTTATTGACATCCCTGAATCAGTCTTTTCCTCTACTTGTTTCCCTTGCATGTTCCTATCTCTCTCTCTCCACTCACAACCCTTTTGCCCCACTAAACCTTCACAAGAATGAATAATAATATTTCATAGAAAATTAAAGATTTTGACTGGGATTCCCCACCTTCTTTCACAGAATCTACATTCTTCCATCAGTTAATAAACAGAATCTCTCTTTTTCGAGTCTCAGAAACCTGTGTTTTGTCTCATGGTATTTAAGTACATAAATGGTAATACACTGAGTTATGTGGAAGGAAAGGCTTAATAGTATGGAATGCTTGGTGTGGGCTGGCAAGAACCATTTGCCGCTTGCAGAGTTCTGTCTGGGAGAACTGCAAGGTCTGTAACAATAGAATTAATGAAATTAACTTGCTACAGACTTCATGAATTAGATTAATACAGAGAAAAAATTATAAGACTTATTCTGTGTACAAGTGTAGTCTCCAAAACAAACATAGAAAAAAGAAATCTAAACTGTACAAGAGATACTATTGTACTGTGTGAATTTACATCATTGCTAATGAGCAATAGCTTGGTAGAAGCGTATTTAAAATTAAATTAAAATACTAAGAAGTCTGAAAAAATCTTTCTCCCCTATTCCAAATTAATAAAAATAATACAATTTTTTTAATAAATGGAATAAAATTATTTTAATTAATCAGTTTAAGTTTCTTTCTTACACATATAAATCTCCATCTTGGAGAAAATTTCATAATCTCTTAAATGTCCATGCTAGTAAGAAAAGTTTTCAGTAGCACATAAGGAAAATGAACATAAAATATTGCATAAAATATTATTGCACCTTTACCCTGTATTGAATGAGCAAATATGGTTGAAAGTTCTGAATTGCTCCTTCCTTTCTTCTTTAAAGGTAATGAGCCAAGTCAGCTTACTTGATTTGGGTAAAGTTGTACTAAATCACAGCTGCTGCACTTGCTCATACCTGGACCCACTAATATTAGAAGGTGAAATCAGTTCATATTTCCTAAATGCTCCAACTCTATCCTATTTTTCAAGATGTCTTTTATATCTTGTGTTTTCCTGTTCATGAAATAAAACCAAGAGGTCTATCCTAGTGATATTTGCACAAACTGCAGAGAGAAGGGAAAATCACAGTCTGCTTGGCTTTTTGGATATGTAAGATTTGGCTGAATTCAAAATGATCAACACCTGGGCATATGCCAGTAGGTGTTCTGAGAAGGAGGATGTAACATGGGAGGTAAAAATGGAGAAGGTCCTAAGGGGAACTTATTTTGGTGTGACACTATGAACAGATTAATGGAAGGCCCAATCATGCTGTTTATCCCCCCTAAAACCTGAAAACCCCTAGAACATGATACGAGTATCTCAGAATGTTTAATTTTTCCCCTTCTCTCTCCTGGCCACAGTATTTACTGCTGAGAAACATTTGGCAGCTAGCTACATGTTAGGAATAAAACGTACTAACACACACTCAAAATGTTGCAAGGATCCTGACTCTACTGTCCTAAAACAGAGGTAAAATTCTGTTTATTTAATTTGCATCTGAGGAATACCACAGAGATTTTATCTGAACATTAGTTTAATAAGGAATTATAAGCTTGGGAAGACCCATGGGAGACTGCTAATGGGTTATGATACGTAAAATGCCAGAAAACGTAAACCACATTGATAGTGCCATGTTGCGCTCACCCCTTCAGAGTAGAAATGTCACAATATGCATAAAAAGGCACAGGAAATACTGTTAATTATAGAGGTATTTGCTTGTGAAAAATTAAATATAACACTCAAAACAGAAGTTGGCTTCTCATGATCTAATAAGGAAATATATGGGGGAAAAGGCACTCTGCTCTGGGAAATGCCACTGAAAGTAAGTGTGATTACACTTCCAATCTGTAGCAACACAGAGCAATACCAGTGCTGTTGGTAGCCTGCACGAGAGGTCCAATAATATTTTGATGTGCTCACATTGCCAATTCCAATTAAATCTGATGGAGCAGCCATTGCAGGCTCTCTGGCCCCCAGTGTGCATTTACCCAGCTCTCTCTCCTTGCCTTTGTGTGGATGTGCATGTATGGGTCTACACAAACATTTGCATACATGTATGTGTGCTCACTAAAATGACTGGCGCAGCTTTCCAAGCAGCTGCTTTTGGTATTTGATCTGTATTTGAACTGACACAAGTTGATCTCACATGTTCCATTGACATCTCTTAGGAAGAGACCTGCAGAGACTTGTTACTGCCTGCCTATACTGCACACTGCTCAGTGGGATGAGGCTGCTTTCTGAGCAGGTCCCTAAAGGCAGTGTGTTTCTGCTGAAATCCCAGCAATGCCTAACTTGGGGCATTAAAATAAGTATGCTGGTGGTTTACACAGCAGTCCGATGCATAGACTTGATGCTGCAAATGTGGAAGTCCCATCTGGCATTTTCACTGCACAGTTTAATGCAGATTAATTGCATCACCTCTGCTGCCCGTGGAGGTTTGGTGGTCTGGTGCCCGTTCACACAGTTGCCTTTGAGTGTGCTGTGTCTGCCACCTCCTTCACATTTCCTGTAGTGACTTGAATGAAGCACTTGCTGCTTTGGCAAGTGCTTCACTCCTCGGTGTGATCCAGGGAGGCAGGTGAAACCCAGCTCGAGGGGCACTCCCGTCCCAGCGGTGCAGGGAGCAAAGGGGCTGCTGGCGGCTGGTCTGCGCCCTGCTGAGACTCGGCCCTGCTCGGGGCTGCCCTGGGCTTATTTCACCCCGCTTCTCTCGCGAAGCCCCCAGGTGGAAGCTATTCATCCAAAGAGACGGGCAAAGCGCGAAACCGGTGGCATGCTGCCCGGCGGTGCCAGGCGGGGGCCAGCCTCCCGGGGGACAGGAGCGGGCCGGAGTTGAGGGATGTTCACCCGGGCATGCTCTGCACACGGTAGCAGGTGGCCCTCTGCGCGCATCGTGTCCAGACCCCAACGCGGGGCTGAGTCCAAACAGACCTCAAATGATTATTATTTTTATTATTGTTTTGTATTATTATTATATTACCCCAAACAAACAAACAAAACTCAGCAAAGACATGGATGTTCTGTTATGCATCTATGTCTCTGCACATTGTATCTTTTTCCTACCATTTCTAAGCTCGTGCATTTAAGTTCTGTCACAATTTTTTAGGGAAAGGAAAAGCAAAGCGAGGAATTTGGGGTTGAGCATCCTCATTCCCTCTGCTCCTCTATTACCAATCTTGGTTACGGCTCGGTCCCGGTAACGTCCGGGCCGGGCTGACCCAGGGGCACCGGGCGAGACTGGGGCGGCGCAGGGGCAGGGACCACCCGGCTGGAGGCTGCGCCGAGCAGCGCAACCAGGGCAGAGCCTTCGCTGCGCCTCGGGAAGGCGCGTCGGGCGAGCTACCTGGACCGAACCTCGGCTTCGGGCTCGGAGCGCGCCGGCCGAGGCCCCCGCGGAGGCGGACTCACAGAGCCCCACCGCGGCTGCATGGAGCGGGTCAGGTCTTTCCCAAATGCGGAGCGATGTAACAGCGAACTTTCTGCGGAGTCGAGGTTGCTCCTTGGTGCGTCTGCCTCCGAGCGGTCCCGAGCGGCTCGCGTTCGCGGCTCGCCGACGAGCCCCGCTCCAGCGCTCGGCGGGCGCCTTCTCGCTCCTCCCCGCGCCCGGGGCGGCAGCCGGTGAGCACCGCGGAGCGCCCCGGCGGCTCTGCCTGCGCGGAGCCCCGCGGAGCCCGGCGCGGCGCGGCCGCGGGGGGGCGCGGGCGGGCGCGGGAGCGGCGCGGGCGCGGGGGCAGCGCGGCGGGGGCGGCGGCCGGGCGGGCGGGGGGCGGCGGGACGGCGCCCGCCGAGGCACACGCTGCGGCCGGCTCAGGAGAGAGCGCGGCGGCGAGCACGGAGAAACCCGGAGTGTGCCCGTCCGCGCTCCTTCCGCCGGCGTTGGGGTGTCTTGCCTCCCTCCCCGCGCCGCGCAGCCCGCGCTCCGGAGGGGACCGCCGCGTCGGGCGGAGCTGTTACTTTTTGCAGCCGGCATGAGGCTTCCCGGGGGAACAAGGAGACGCCGCGCTAAGCAACCGGGGAAGAACCTGCCTCTCATCTGTTGCAGCGGAACCCGGCGGCAGGCGCGGTCCCCCCGGCCGGAGGTGATGGGCACCCGCTGACTCGTGGCGTGCGTCCGAGAGTGCCTGCATGTGCGGCAAACATGGAGAAAATAAAGTAAAAAATGTGGATAGTGCCTGAGATGGACGGCAGCCAGTGAAACAAAACAAACACGTTGTGAAGGGATTTAATTTGCAAACGGGATTGAAAAGGGTACAACTTCCATGGGAAAATGTGACCTGTTAAAACTGCTGTCGGAAAATGCCGGCTGTCAGCGCAAGCACCTAAACCAAGTAAGTTCTCATCAGCTTTGATCTGTCCTCTTTCTGAGCCTTTGATTACCTTTTTGACCCTCTGCAAAAAGAAGAGGCTATGACTGTCTAAGGTAACTTTTTTGCGCCGACAAAAGCAGCCTAAAGCGACATCGTGCACGCCCTTGGCCTTTGGTGATAGTCCAGAGGCGTATTAGTATCTCTTCCTCTCCTTTTGTATGTAATAAACGTATTTTTCCCTGGCAGCCGCTGCCGGGGGGAGCGGCATCCTTCGGTCGCTGGGTGACACCTGCAGCGCGGCGGAGCGCCCAGGCGCCGGAGGGAGCGGCGGGGGCCGCTTCACGGGGCTCCACCCGCGCTCCGCACCCGCTCCACCCGCGCTCCGCACCCGCTCCACCCTCGCCCCCGCGGCTGCTGCCGGCCCTGCCGGGCTGAGAGCGCCGCGGCCCCCAGCAACGCCAGACGGGAGTTCACATGTCACGCACACGGGTGGGCGCGGGAGCCGCGCCACGGAGCGCCTCTGCTCCCCACGTTAGTGGCGGCCGCAGCTGCGATGTCCCCGCAGGCGGCTCTTCCCGAGGGGACCTCGCTCGCCGCCGGCCAGTCCGCAGGAACCCTCCAGGGGAGGCGGGAGTCCTCCAGGGAAGCCCCCAGCAGGGACCTGGAGGACGGCGAGGTGCAGGCGGCAGGAGCGGAGCAGGGTGAAGTGGGCCGTGGGACGGCTGCTGGAGCAGAGGAAGGGACTGGTGGGTTCATCCCCATGTGGGGTTTACACGGCAAGGCCCTGACGCCTGAGGTGATGGGAGAGAAGCTGTGGTCCTGTTAGGAAGAAGCAGCTGATGCTCTGGAGGTTTAAATGCCGACAAAAACTCAGCACATTAGCGAGGCACACGACTGTAGTTGTGGCTACAGTTGTCAAAACCTACAGACTCGTTAATCCAGTATTTCTCTGTTTCCACCAGAAAGCATCTTTTATGCACTTTTGTTTTACTGGACTTAGTTGAGTGACTTCCTGTTAGCATGGCAACCAAATTTTAGATTTCTCTACACATGACTTGTGAGATGGCTCTTCCAACATTACAACACCTTTCAGGTGGAAGTAAATAAAAACACCTTCTATTAGGTGTTTATTATTAGAATGAGTATTATCTATTAGAATGAGTAGTCCACAAGCAAAAAAAAAAAAAAAAGAAAAAAAGAATAGGTAACAGAGATGCATGTTGGTTTCATCTGAGAAATAGGTAGTTCTAACAAACAGTGCACGTAGAGATTTTCTTTAGAATGCAGGATAGACAGAGTGAGAAACAGTATAGGTTCTATACACTAAATAGCAATACTACAGTACCTTTAAATCCAGTTTGCTTGAAATTTCAAATTTGATTATATTGTAGTGACATGCAGTGACATTTCAGTGTTTCTGTTACTTGCTTCAAAGCCCACACCTGGATAGCTTAGCAAGGTTTTCTGTGCAAGCATACTGAATTTTCTATAAATTAACCTCATTCACTTAAGCAGTAGTTTTGTGTACAGTTAGGGAAGCCAGGCACCAGTGAGAGTGCTTTAGACCTGTTCTACAATAGCAGAAATTCTGGAAGACTGGAATTCATGCCCTTTTTTTAGACAAGACTCAGAAATAAGCTTTATCCTTCAGTGTCAAAATAGCTGAAGCCAAACATGGTTTTCCTTTAGTGTTGCCTTCTACACTGCAAGGCCTTAGTCTTGTTTGCAGGAGGATGGCATTCTTTACTGTGTTTTTGGTTTTTTTTTTTTTTCTCTTTTTTCTTCTGTTATTCTGACTTAGGAACAGATGAGACTCTATTTGGAAACAGGAAAACAAAAATATGTCTGTCTTTTAAATTTAACTTCAGCCACTTACTCTGACTCTATGTATAGCAGTCATTGCCCTTAAAATAGCTCCAGAAAAAAAAAAAAATCCATTTCTTCTTATCTCATGCTATTTAGAGGCAAATACTGCTAGCTGAAATTTAAGTGAAATTGAGGTCACTACAGATCTGGTATGATTTTGGTTATATCTTTGAGATATTTCTGCTTATCTGCTGAAAATGTTGAGTCCTGACCGGTGTGGTTCTGCTCTTGGTAACAGTGGGCTTGCGTTTCTTCAGTGTGGAGAGACCACCAAATATATATTGAAGGATACATGTAGAGACAACAGTTTAGGGATTAGCTTTCACCTTTTCTTTGTGTGTGTGTGTGTTTATTGCCTGAGTTAATTGGCAAGGAAAAATGTTCATGACTGCTCTTCCAAAGACCTGAGACCTGTCTCCCTACCAGTACACTGTTTAATCTGTCAACTTTTTCTGGGATTTGATTCACTGGAGTGAGATAGCAAAACCAACAAGGAAAATCCTGTGTGGCATCTCTGCTTGCCACTGGTGGTGCTTGTAGTCAGTGTTAAAAGGGACTGAATTAATTTTGAAAATGATGACTAAGTCACCTTAACTTATCTTACGGAAAGGCAGAATAGAAGCAGGAAGAAAAGACTCTCATAACCTGTTTAAAGCAAAAGCAGATAAAAATAGATGGAGCATTGTTCTATTCAGACATTTAATGGCTTTATGAGTGTCAGATTTATCATTACTTTTTCTATTCAGTTTTAAGTTGTGTTGGGTTATGTTCGTGTTACTTTCTCAAATAAAATGTTCTTAATTACTGAAGGAAGGTTGAAGGTAAAATCAATCTTCCATCAACATGTTTTGTGATGAAACAAAATTCCAAAACCCATCTGTTTTAGAAGTCCTGAATAATTGAGAAAGATAAGTCAAACTTTGCCCTTGCTTTATTACACTGACACTACTTTAAGTAGTGTCAGTGTAACACCAGGAACAATGGTGCCAGGATCCTCATGTCCACTGTGATTTGTTGCTGGAAAAAAAAAATATCCTGACTAAATATATATTAATTTAGTTTTGTTAAGTCAATACAGGGGAAGGCTGAGCAAATTAAATCTTTCTGTAACAGATATGCATGCAGAAGTCCTTCAAAGGGGCATTACCTTTCAGAAAAATAGAATTTGAGACTGTCAAAAGAGGAGCAACTAAAAATAAGACAATTACTTTTTACAGTGACGTTTTCAAAGGAATAAAAAGGTTTTTAGTGTGCCACAATGATGAAAGTAACAAATAAATGACTTTGCTATTGTATCATGTTCTTGGAGTTGTGGGCTGTTTTGATTTCATTTGAGGTTTTTCTTCTCCCTTCAAATGTCTGTTTTGGTTTAAATTCTGAAATTACTTCTTCCAGTCTTTTACAACTGCATTTCTAGTTTAGATATTGACTGGTGTGAGACAAAAACTGAAAAGAACCTTGGATAAAAGTTAATTTTTTTTTACAGATAAAGAATTTTTCAGCGAGTATGGCCTGAAGTGGGACAGGAGAACTTCCTTAAATTTGTGTGAATTGTATGTTTGTTTAGGATTATGAACCAGTCAAATCTAATCCCTGAAGTCCATGACCGCTTCTGCAATTTCTTGATCACTATGTCTGTACTCGATATATTAATCTCAAAAGCTTCTGACATACTTGTGCATATCAGATGAACCATTTGAATGTTATGATCATATTATCTGGTGTATTATGCAGTGGGTAGAAAGAGGAGCAGTAAATGGAGAAAGACTTTTCAGTGAACTTTTTGGGGAAAGATGTTATGGGATTCTTCTGGAGGTGCTTTCCCCATATCATTGGAAACTTCTGAGGATCAAGTAGCCAGCTGTTCCTCAGGAGCCAATTCCTCCATTCCACCATGGTGCATGGACAGCCCCTAAGCAGTCAAGGTATGGGGTGGTGCCCTTAAGCTCTTCAAGTCCTAGCTCAGCATACACTGGTTTTCCATGATAAACAAGATATTTTCCTTTGATTTCATTTCTTTAGAGAGGTTCTGATACCAGTGTTTAGGACCACAAGTTCATCCTTCCTTGGCTCAGAGAATCAGAAAGCTCATCCTACCTGTGTTCACACCCAAGAATGAAGGCAAAAGCAGTCTCGGACTCCTCATGTCCTTGTGCCAGATAGGCAAAGCATGGACAAGTTGATTGAGAGCTGGCACCAAGGAGGACTCCAGCCTCCTACAGATGTTGTAGCATGCAGGCTAACCTGTTGTAGCTACATTTTATAACCCTGAACTGACATGGAATACCTGTTTTCCAGCTGTCAGGGTGAACCTGGAGTGTCTCTTTTCCTTTCCTGGAAAGAGAAGGACTGAAGCAAAGAGTAAACCATCCTCTGTATTTTGTCATCTCTTTTATAACAGAATAAGCATCCTCCACAGGTGACTGTCTCTCTCTGTTAACCATGCAGCAAAACCCAAGACAAGGAACCTTCCTTCTTAAGATAGATTGGCTGAATCCCAGCTGTGCAGTGCAGGCTGTGGTAGTACTTGATAAAGGTTGAATAAGCACAGAGGTCAGTAGATACAGGATAAATAGTTGCTATAATCAGCCTAAAAATTTACATTTTAAAAAACCTCCAAAAACCATGCATACACATGCACGTGCTCCAAGCTGCTGTACTAACTTTTAAAAAATCTGTAAATAGCATGAACTCATATCTTCTGGAAGTTTGCCAGCTGCCACCTCTGCAATCCAGTTTCCTTTCACAGAATTTTTCAAAACATGAAGTCTTATGCAAACTCTCTATAATAACTACTTAAATTATAACTATTTAATAACTAAAATTTTTGTCACTTTCCAGCTCAGGTGTCTGGTTGTGGTGTCTGTCAGAGAGAGACAGCTGCTGCCAAAGAACACAGAAACTCTCTCAGTGATGTTTAAGTAGTGGGGGTGATAATTAACCCAGGTCATAAAGCATGAATGGGGCATTAATGCAGCTCTGTATCCAGGCCAAAATATATGGTGAGAAGTTGGCCTGGCATGGGAGCCTCATTTTTTCTTACATCTCACATCTCCTAGAGCGATGGAGACATTCTGCCAGTAAGGATCTTCCTGCAGTCGACTGTCTGTGAGATTAACTGAGAATTCAAATTTCTTCTTCTAATCATCATTTAA